CGGGAGTTCGCAGGCGGGGGGAGGTGGCAGGCTCGCTGTTACCTCCTGTAGCACGGTTTTTGAACTCAGCTGGTACTTTTCATCTCTTGACATCTGATTTTGCAATACAAAGTGAAGAATGCACGTGCATCTTGGTAGTGGAAACTTAATATATTGCTGCACTGTGTACTGCTCATTCAGTGTGTTCACAAAATGAAGGCTTTTTCCTGAACCAACCTCCAAAATCTCTTCAAAAATACCTTCAGAGACCAAAGTGTCTTGCTTGTTGACTTACTATCCTGAAAGAACAATCTGAACGGTTCTACGAACACTGCAGGTCTGTAAAAGGCGACTTCTAGGGAAACCTGGATGAGCTTTCACCTCAGGGCCACCGCAATGAATGTGTAGCAGATTCCTTTTAGCTTTTGCTCCCCGGCAGCTATTCGTGATTAGCCAGGTGTGCTGACTTCAAAGGGGACAAATAGCTGCTGGGGTGAGAAAGAGACCCCATTTGGGAGTTGGCTTCCCTTATGCACTCTGATGGGCTTGGTTGATTTAAAATAAAACCAAAATACAAGAATAGAGCAAAGAAGGTGACCTGTAGGTGTTCAAACTAATGTCTCTATGCTGGCCAATGTTCTTGAAAAACACCGAGTGATATTTCATAATTTATCGCTTTCATATGTTTTTTTTTACATCTATTTAAATTCAGGTTCTGCTAGTCTGTAAAGAGTACAGTGTCTAGTACTGCGATGGTGATAGCTGTCGTTGCTCAGAGAAATAGTTACTTTCATTCTGCATCCAACAAAGGCAGTAAAGGCTTTGAAAAGTTACAGGGAACGTTTGTTCTGTGGAGCCGTTGAGCAGCATTTGAACAGAACATACAGAGGCACAGTGACCATACCTCTGAATGGTAAAAGTGCCCTGTCTTAGCCTCGGTGGTTAAAATACTGTTTTCTCTATCCCAGAGGATTTTAATATGTTCTAATATGTCGTCCGTGCTGTTGGTAACTCCAGGTTTGGACTGCGTATTTGATGCAAAGCCGTGCACTTTAAAATAGGCCTGATCATACCTGTGTAAGAAGTGTTGTATGCAGCAGTTCTGACCCCTAATGGTCAGAAGGAGAAGTATTGTCTGAGGCACTTTCTGCGATGAGTGCGATATGCTAGATTTTGTCATGACTGTGAGAATGACACTGAAAAGGTGTAAAGAACCTGGTCCACCTTTATTTTCTACACTAGGGAGCTTGTCTCTCCACCCCAAATCACAGGGAAGATTGTTTTTAATGATGCTTCCAAGTAACATGGAGAAAAAGAACATAATTTAATTTTAAAAATTCTTATATTTAAAGAGAGCCTAAATCACATTTGAATTCCTTTAAAACCTTCTTGAAGGAGGAGTTTGAGAAGGAAGGGGCAGAGAGATTGTAGAAGCTATAGTGAAGTTTAACTACATTCCATGCTGATTCAGGAACTCCTGTGTTTGTAATTACTCTGCCATTTGTTTTAACTACACAGAAACACAAAATGTTACCTTTACTGTCTGGAGATGAGGAGAGGGGGTCATTTTTGAGGTAAGAAGTCATCTTTTGGGGTGGGACTGAGGATGCTGTCTTTCTTATTGCAGGCAAAACGAGCGGTACAGCGAGGAGCCACAGCGGTCATCTTTGATGTTTCTGAAAACCCAGATGCCATTGATCAGGTATGAAGAAGGAGCCTGGTTTTATTACAGCCTCTGTTGGGTTCTTTTAGGGTTGCTGAGACAAGGTTTGACAGCATACAGGTCTCCGAGCACACCTGCCTTAAGACATACAGCTACTGACCCTGGGGTAATGTGGTGCTGTGGTTTTCCTACTCGTCTTCTGGCAGGCAAGAAGCAACGGAGGCGTTTAGAATGTGGTAGAAAGAGAAAAGTTTGGGGAGTTACATTTTTCTTCTAGACTTTGCTAGAATACAGAGTCCAGGTCTGGGATTGAGGTTTTGAGAAAGGATGGAGGCAAATTTTTTGTGATGTGTTATCTAGTCAAGGAGGTTTTCTTTGCCCACCCCTGGGTACAAAACACAGGGTGTTTGGTCCTACCCAGGTTGTGATCAATGTACTGTTCAGCAGCTGCTATTTCTGAGGTTGCAAAATGGCTTTCAAACCTGGTTCTAAAAACTTACAAACATTTCTTTCTTGTTCACAGCTGGTGATTTCTGGCCTTTGTTTTTTGTGGACAAGCAGGGGTTTTATTTTTTGGGGGTCTCGGTACAACTTCCATCTTTTCATTTGAAGTGGGTGAGGTAATAGATCTGTGATATGCTTTGACAAGATCCTTCCAGACAATTCTGAGTGTTTTGGGTAGAGAGAAGAAACATAGCAAGCACAAAAATAGTCTGCATTTGGTTTTGGTTTGTCTTGAAACAAAACTGCGATTTCTGCTACAGCAGAAACCAATGAAGCTGAATGTTTCCAAATGCAGCCTGAATTTCTTGGAGAAAAGAGAGACTATCAGTGTTTACATTTGAAAAGCTGGCTTTAATTCTGAAATGAGCATCTGTTGGACAAAGGAATGCGGACCCTGTGCAATGGCTACTTAGAGAACTGCTCTGCGTGTGCATCAAGGCTACAACCTTGATCTTGCAAACATTCTCAGGGATATTTTTTCCCCTTTTATACACAGAAAAATTATCTGCACAAAGATGTAATCTGTCTTTTTCCATTTTTTTCTCTGTATTACAGCTTCCAGTTACTTTCAGCCACCCTGCTCTGAACTTGCGAAGCTGAGTTACTGCCTCTTGCTCTCTTCCCTCTACCAGCAACAGCTGTCCTTCTTGATTCTTGATAATAAACTGGGTGCAACTGTCCCCAATAGCTGGGAAATTAGTCTAGTGGATGATTGAATATTTTGGGTGTACCAATAAAATGGAAGGAGGTTAGTGACTTAGTGCAGTAGCTGACGAAGTAGGCTTTGTTAGAGGACAGACCAGCAGCCTATGCAAACACAAACAGGAGAGGAATGGCTAGACCTAGCTTTCATACGTTAAATGTAAGAGTTACTTGATTGACTCCATTCTTATGCTCCTCTGGACACTTGTGTTTCATGCATTTTGATTCTTAACCAAAGTCTTCAGAACCCTTGACATCAGGGGATACTAATTAATTTGTGTTTAAAATAAATGCCATTTTTACACTCACAATGGAATTGTGGAAAACAGCGACTGATGGACAACAATGGAGGAAAAACTGACATGAGTTAATCTGGAGTATCTTTGATTCAAATGGAAGTATCCTAAGACATCGAAGGGAGCTGTTTAGGAAGCTTTCCCATGTATGCTTGTTACCAAGCAATAGAACAACTAAGGGAGAGTGCTTTGAAAGGGAGGAGTGGAGATTATGAAAGGTGATCCTTCATCCCAGTCGATGAACAGAAATAGGAAGCAGGCCTGACCAGGAGAAGAATTGTCTTCAGATAATTTGGTAGCAGAATTGCTAACAAATGAAAGGACTTTACATACAGATTTTATGGGGTTTATTCCCATTGATCTGAGTGTCTTCTGCTGTAGACTAAGAATGAAACTTTTATTTTTTAGAAATGCTCTGCAAAGTCTGGTTTGTTTCTTGGTTTTACTTTTGCGTAATGTGAAGAGGAGTTAACAGCACGCAGAACATCTCTAGCGAGAGTCTGGCAGTGTGCAAAAGCTACTGAGGAATCAGGTGAATTCTTTCTTAGACAAGAAAGTTTGAGAGAGAATATGTCCGGGAACTTATGGACAGTGATTGGATTTGGCCTTAGGCCAGCAAGCCTTGTAAACACAGGATCCCTGGGTTGGATTCAAGTACTTCAGCTGGTTTTCAGCTCTTCAGAAGACATCGGTCTTAAAAATAGTTTAATCAGTGTTCTCAGAGGCCCAGTCAAATTCTAGGAAGAATCTGGTTTAAAGTCTCAATGAAATCTGTCACAATCATCTGGACAGATTAAGTAGAGTACTTTGTAAGCAGGATGACAGACCAGTCAGTTGGTAATTTGTACATGTTTTAGCCAGAAATAACAGGTAGATATCAACAATGTAGATGTGGTATCTCTGACATACGTTACTTTTGTTCAATTTGCTCACACTCCTGTCATCTCATTCCCTGTACCATTTCCATCTGCTTGTCAGTGCCTTGCTTTTTTGTTACCAACCAGCCTCTATACTAGGATTTTTCTTGTGGGTCAGAACGAGCTATATGAATTTATCATCTTGGTGCCATTTTGTAACAGAACAATTCTCTTGTCTTATTATTCCCCTCTCTGGTGTATAGTTTAGCAGATTGTTTTTTCTGGATTTGTTGGCCAGAGAAGTTATGCAGTCTCTACACTTAAAGGTTTTCAACATCTGACTGGATAAAGCCCTGAGCAGCCTGGTCTGATGCCATAGTTGACCCTGTCTTTACCAGGAGGTTGGGCTCTTGGGGTGCCCTACCACCCAAATTATTTTCTGATTCTGTGATTTGGCCTTTCAAAAAAATTAGCTGGACCTGGAATGAAGTTTCGGTGTGAATAAAGCTATCTACTCATATGCTTTAGTGTTTGAGGCCCCCATCCTGTAGTCAATAGCTCTAGTGGTTGCTAGAACCCAAATAACTGTTTGAGTGAGTTTGCTGAGTTAAACAGCAGAAGTGACAGACTTCAGTAAATTGGCTTTTTAAAGTACAAAGAGCCTGAAAGACAGGACTCTGACATGAGATTGTTCAGAAAGCCAAAGAAATTTGTATGTGAATAATTGTGTACAAAGTTGAAATAACAAAGAGTTCAGAAAATGTATCAAGGCTGATTTTTTTTGAATGCGCAGATCTTTATTCTTCACTATGAGGTTTAACTTATTACAGTACTAGGCACATAATGCGATTAAGTTAAACTGCTGTTCAGAAATAACATTTGCTTATTCTTAATCTTAGTTTTGGTCAGTAAAATATGCAGCTTAGTTCAAAAGTTTGATTCAGGTTTACCTCTGTGGAATACAGAGTTAAGTGAAGGTCTATGCTAGAAGAGAACAATTGGTGCTTGAATCAATTCCACATTCATATTCCTTTACTCTTCTCTCCATTGTCCAAAAGAGAGGTAGTTTTCCTGAAATGTGCCTTTTGAGTAGATTATTCTTTTCTTCTAGCTGAACCAGGGCTCAGAGGACCCTCTGAAGAGACCAGTAGTGTATGTGAAGGGTGCTGATGCTGTCAAGCTAATGAACATAGTTAACAAGCAGAAAGTGGCACGAGCAAGGATTCAGCATCGCCCCCCACGGGTGAGAATTTAAGAAACTTTATCTAGGTATTACACTGCTGTTGCTTCATGCAGTGCTTGCTAACTGCACTGAAGGTGAAGGTGTTTTGATGCTCCCCATGAGCATTAATACATGTGAAATTCTGTTGACCTAAATAAATTGAGCAACTGCACTGTGGACAAGCAGCTACACTTGATGTAAGTATAGAGTCTACAATGTGGCATCTGCTGTCTTTCATAAGGATTCTTTTGAATATATAAATGGCTTAAAAATTATATAATATAAGTTTTCCTTTTTCTTAATTACATAACTTAATTGTGGCGCACTCCCCGTAGTTCAGAGTTGTAAGGTACTCTGCCTTGTGTTGACTAATAATTCCATGTGATATTTTAAACGTGGGTCAATTATTTGATATCTGATACCTGTAATATAAAATAGTTTTTCTAGATTTTTTTTTTATATCACTCTCTACATGTAGTTTACAGAAGAAGAATAAAGCTAGAGGTCATCCATGTCCCAGTTACCACTTTGGTTTTGTTGTATTTTTATGGAATTCTTCTGTTAAGAAATGTATTTGAGAAGTGGGTCGTTCACTGAAAATTCAAATGTTGATTTTCATTTCCTTAAGTATACAAGCAAACCAATAAATCCTGAAAATTTGTGTTAGTGTGATTCACTCAGTTAAAAAACTGGGGTTTATGGTGTTGGTTCAGAGACACTGTAAATCTGACATTGACAGGCATTCTGTGTATTTCATTCACTTGCAGTGACATATGAAACCCAGGTTTTGTCTCAGAATCCTAATGAACAGAACAGCGTGTGCTTTGAGTTTTGCCATTGTGATTGTGTATATTTGACGACTACTGAGAAAGTAGCGAAGAGAAAGGAACAATAGATTTGAGTATGATCTAGAGAAAGGAAAAATAATATTTTTGTTTTAACTTTTAAGCAACCCACCGAGTACTTTGACATGGGAATTTTCCTGGCCTTCTTTGTGGTTGTGTCTCTTGTTTGCCTCATTCTTCTTGTCAAGATCAAACTGAAACAGCGACGTAGTCAGGTATGAGCAGTAATGGTATATTCGTTGAATGTTGAATGTTGAACCTTAGCTTCTCTTACTTTGTCATAGAACTTGCTTGCTAATTTTGGAAATGCTGGACACTGACTTATAGTAGCCATCTTTGTGGAAGGGGTTTTATCCATGGATGTAGGCCTTTGGAAAAATTTGGAAATGTCTTTAAAGGAGATCTCCGTTGACTTCTGATGTTAATTCAGTTAAATCCTGAAATGAAAAGAGTACAGAAGCAGTCCATTTAGCCATTGGGAAGGAATAGCATTCTTGGTTGTTCAGAGGTTGACTGTCAGTAGCACTGGTGTACTTCTAAAGAAGTCCAGGCTCTTATTACTGTATTGTGGAGAGAGTTATCAAGATTGAAAATAAATTGCAACTCTTTGGTAGAACAACATCTATTGATTCTTAATGGGAGAAGTTTGCAAGGTAAAATGTTTGGTTAGGAGAAATTCCAGGTGAGATACTTAGAGTTTGTCCTGTCAAACATGAAAGGAAAAGCAAATGGAAGCTAATGGGCTCTGAAGTTTGTAGTGTGAACTGTCCAGTATTTACAGGAATGTAAAAGGAACACAAAGCATTGTAGATGCTTAGGACTCTTGCTTTGGACATAGTGAGTAGGAATCCCAAGACATTATGGGCCGACAGCAGTGTTAAAAACAGTTTTTAAAAGGGAGATGAAAAATTCTACACTAAGATAAAAACAACCCACTGCCTTCCTAAACTTCTGCTATTGATTAAATTTGGAAGGAGGGGGAAATGATACAGATAATTTAGTAACATTTCATTTTAATCCCTCACTCAAGTATTGCTTCTGGTAATGTGGTGTTAACAGCATTATGGGGCATTACATTCAATATTGACAGTTCAAAAAAAGTTCCTGGCCAAGTCTTACATGTTGCCTTCAATAGTTGCTGCCTAATAATTGGGCAATTACAGTGTATCTCAATTGTCAGCACCATCACCCTGTTTGAATTCAAAGTAGCTTATCATTCTCACAACTGCATGTGGCATACATTCTTTTAATGAGGCTTCTGATCAAAATTCTAATTAGCTTCTCTGTTTAATTAATTAAATTGTACATTAGTCTGGGCCTGACATGATTTGGTAAGGTACATTAGTTTGATATGGTGGTGTTTCTCTCGTACTACACTGTAGTCCCTTATGCAGCAGCATTCCCTTTTTTTTTTTCCCTTTTTCTTTTTTCTTTCTTTTATTGTAGAATTCCATGAACAGGCTTGCAGTGCAAGCACTGGAAAAAATGGAGACCAGGAAGTTTAAGTCCAAAAGTAAGGGACACCGAGAAGGTAGCTGTGGAGCACTGGACACGCTCAGTAGCAGCTCCACCTCTGACTGTGCCATCTGCTTGGAGAAGTACATTGATGGGGAGGTAAAGGATAAATGGTTTCTTCAGCATGGGCTGAGAATGTAGCTGATTTATTTTGACACTGTGGTACAAGGCTGGCTGTTGGGTGCATTGTGTACTGAGGTGGTGCAGCTTGGCAGACTGATTGCGTTGAGTAGCCAACTCAGCCTCAGCTGCACTTTGCAGCTCCCAAAGAAATCTCAAGGGCTTTTCCCTGTACTACAAAGTGAGAGATGAGGGATCTCATTCTGCAAGTTGCTACCTCTATGAAGTTGCTTTTTCTGAGGAGGAAACCATAAAGAAGTCAGGATTACCCCAGCATTTAGTTCTCTGGGTATTTTTAACAAACTGCGTGCTAAGGTGGTGGTGCATGCAAACTCTGTTGGACATAAGGGATGCATTTCGTGTTTTGCTTCTCAAGCTTTCATGGCACCTTGTCTTTAAAATGTCAGGTACACAGCACAGCTGGGAAACCAGAGGAGGAGATGCCTACAGGAACCGTTTTTTGAATCCTCAGTTACCATTGCTGCATTGATGTCAGTGCTTGCCTTCTGTGACACAGTTTTACCCAGAGGAAGCAATGAAAGGATGAAATAGAAAATAGGCTCCTTAGAATAGAGGCAGTCAGTAATCACAGCTTTAAACTTCCATATAAAATACGGAAATATGAAAATTATTTGAGGACGTTTTGTTTTGAAATTATTTATAAAAGATTCATCATTTTTAAGGCAATAGAAAATACCATCTGCAGTATTTGAGTGCTACAAGCTACAAACAGAAAGTTAATGAAGTTAGCTGATGCGAAATTATTCAGAATAGGAAGGATGAAGGCAGGCAAGAACTTGAGAAGGGCTGTACAAAACTGACTGGATGGGAAATTCATGCATTAACTTCACCATGAAGTGCTATACATAGGGAAGAGCTTCACATGTATTAGTGATGGGTTGTGAGGAGAGCATTACTGTTCAGGAGCTGTTTTAGATAGTTTTGTGAAAGCAGGATGTTTTGTGGCAGTTAAAAAGGTAAATTGAATGTTAGAAATGAGATAGAGAGGTCTAGAGAACTAAATGGAAAACATAATTACACCACTGTGTAAGTTCAGTCATGGTCTCACACTGAGTGTGCACTAACGATCTCATTTCATAAAAGACACGTTGGAAATGATTTTTCAGAAAAGGGCAGTCACGAAGTGATCAAAGGTTTGGAATGGTTACTGTACAAGAAAAAAAAAAAAGACTGGGCTAGGACTGCTTAGTCCTAGATTACTTGGCGGCGGAGGGAGTACAAAATTATGAATGGAGAGCATGAACGGGAATCAGATGTTCATTTTTTTCTAATACAAGATTGGGTGCAATTGAATGAACTGTCTAGGACCCAACCTGAATCGAAATGTCATGTTTCTCCACCAGCAGGAACTCCACCAGCCCTGTGGAACTTCTTGCCAGAGCATGTTACAAATTCAAAACCTGAGCTTGTGGGGAGACTTGAGCGGTACTTGGAAGAAAGATCTGTTATGGGTTTCAGCTGGTGGATAGCCAGCAGGCTCAGGAAATCCTGTAAACAGATAATAGCTGAAGGATGAGAGTGCTGGGCAAGGGAAAAAGTATCATGTACACTGTGGTGGTTTTGCTTTTCCTTGAATGTTTTCCATTGCTAATAGTTGCAGGCAAGATGCATCATTAAATGGACTCTGCTGATATTTTTTTTTTTAAAGTTCATTCAGTATATTAAGGAAAACTTTAATGATGGGCCTCCTTGAAGGTGTTGGGTCATAGGGACACAGCAAAAAGTGTCCTTAAAGAAATGTAGTATGTCTGCATGGAGCTTTAACATGCCTGCAGACTATTCTTTCAGTGGCAGCTGATCATTAGCTGTTGTGCTTTTGGCTGTGTTGGAACAGATGGCATTTCTGTCTTTCTTATTAGTTTGAGACTAGGAATTGATCTGTTTAGTAGCTAGGTTGAAAAAAAAATAGGAATAAGCTGTGAAAAATTCGCTGGTTAGGAAGGAGTATTTTTTCATGTTCCTTCGTCTGTTCCTGTAGGAGCTGCGTGTCATTCCCTGCACTCACCGATTTCACAAGAAGTGTGTGGATCCTTGGCTGCTGCAGCATCATACCTGCCCTCACTGCCGCCATAACATCATAGGTAGGTGCTGCAGTACAGATGCTCTGTTGTCTTGTCCATTTTGGGCTTAACAGCTTATAAGATGAAGCAGAAATTGTGCCTGTTTGTAAATCTCCGTAGAGCTCATAGCCGTTATTGTAACGCAACCCTAGAGATACAGTTAGGACTAAGTTCTTTGGAAATGACTGCGTGCCCTGGGAATGACCGGTCCCGTTTTGGTTTTCCCTCGTCCTGGGTGCGATGCCCGGCAGAGGGCAGCGGTGGGCAGCTTCTGCGTGCGGGGAGGACAGCTGGGATAGTAATGGACGGGCAGGTTTTCTCTTGGTAATTATAAAGAAAAGACAGTGTATCGTTTTTTATTTTTCCGTGCTGTTGTAACTTGGAATGTGGTTTCCCCTTTACTTGCCCTCTCCCCCTTCCATTTCCTTTGTCTTTAAAAGGTTTTCTGTTAATACAAATTTGTGTAAAATAATGTGTAAAGTGAAAACTCAAGGAATGACTGCCAGCCTTGCTCTTAACCTGTAAGATCAGGAATATTGTGTAAGCAGAAGGTTTTGCATGTATGAGAACGGTATCTGAAATCACTTCACTGCTTTTCCTTTTTAATCAAATACAGTTGAGTGTTTCAAAGGCTTCTAGGCAGATGCCCTTGACTTATTTTGTTTGTTTTGGTATTCTTCCTTCTGTGTAGAATGTTGGTGCTTTTTAAAAAAAAAAAAACAACTGTGTTACATGTGTAATGTAGTGAAATTCAGAACAAAATAACCTTCTCTCTTGCATAAAATATATTCCTTTTAATTCCTTCCTACTTCTCCACTCTTATTTCTCTCATTCAGAACAGAAGAAGGGAAATGCAGGCCCAGTCTGTCTGGAATCCATCAATCCAGCACGCAGCCGGCAGCAGAGGGTGATTCTGCCTGTCCATTACCCAGGCCGAGTGCACAGAGCAAACCAAATAACAGCGTATCCCACTCGGACAAGCATGGACCCTCACGGAAACCCGATCACAGTACTTACGGTTGAGCGACATGGTGAACAGAGCCTCTACCAAGCCCCGTCCCCAGCCTATATCCAAAGTTATCAGCCTATTCATTTGGACCATGCTTTAAACACGCATCACTGTAGCCTGGAACATCGGGCTTACTCTCCAGCTCACAACTTCCGAAGACCCAAGTTTGGTGGACGCAACTTTTCCAAAGCGGCGTGCTTTTCCCAATATGAGACTATGTATCAGCACTACTACTTCCAAGGCCTTAGTTACCCTGAGCAAGATGGACAGCTTCCAGCTGGCATTTCATCAAAGGGTCCTTCCCGTGCCTTTCAGCCTGGTAGCAGCATGCTTTTCCCTCCTGTGGTACATGTAGTGCCCTCATCCCGCCTGGAGAGTGGCAGTACCTCCAGCTTTAGCTGCTATCATGGTCATCGTTCAGTGTGCAGTGGATATTTGGCTGACTGCCCTGGGAGTGACAGCAGCAGCAGCAGTTCTGGTCAGTGCCACTGCTCCTCTAGTGATTCCATGGTTGACTGCACCGAGGTCAGCAATCAAGGGGTTTATGGGAGCTGCTCCACCTTTCGCAGCTCCTTGAGCAGTGACTATGACCCATATGTTTACCGCAGCAAGAGCCCTTGCCGAGTGGCTGAGGTTGGTGGTGCAAACAGGGGTGCAATCGTTCTCTTGGAGGGCCCCCACCAGGATGAGCTTCCAGCTCGTGGTCATGGTCTGGTGGGTGTTGACTGCCGGCCTATGCCAGCTTCTTCCTCAGGGGACCAACTGTCTAATTGCAGCATGGATATGAACTATAGCAGTAATTCCTCGCTAGAGCACAGGGATCCAAATGGCACTACCTCAGAGGGAGGACCTGAGGCCACTCCTGGTGCTGCCTTGGATGTTAAAAGGAACTGGAAGAATCCAGAGATAGCAGGGCCACTTATGGAGCAAGCATGCACATGCTGCTTTGAACTCCAGCACTCTGCCCTAGAGCCTAGTGGTGGGACAGCTGACTGTAGTGCACTCTTCCTTAGCGCTCCACTGTGGGGGGCGTGTGGCCCAGGAATAGAACCACAGTCAGGGAGCACCCCGGGCTTGTACAGTATTAACTCAGACCACTTGCATAGGACAGATGGGGTAAAATACGAGGGGTTGCCGTGCTGCTTCTATGAAGAGAAGCAGGTAGCCTGTAGTAGCAACAGTGGCAGGGATACAGAAGACTATGCAGTGAATGTGCAGTACACACTTCCTGATGACACCTTGCCAAGCTGCTGTAAGGGTGTATGTGATCTGGGTCACCGCATTCCCATAATTCCTGAAGACAGAGACTGTGAGCTGATCCTACCTACAGAGTGCCAGGGGACCCATGCAGGAGGCTGTAGTTCCTGGGATGGAACACCTGAGCTAGATACTCATCTGCACTGCCAAGGTATAGGAGAGGTACAGGACGAGAGGGAGGTGTGCTACGAGGCAACATCATTCCTGCGGCAGAACTACTCTCAGGAGGAGGAAGCTGGAATGCTCTTTCCCAGTCCCACTCTGAACTCGCAGAAGCTGATGACAACCACAAAGGCCACAGGTAATATGTCTGATTTTTTTGCTTACTCACAACCTTTCTGTCCTAGCATATGAAATGCTGCCAGCCTCCTAGGTACCTGCAGCCATAAAGATTGCTGCCATCCTTTGCATAAGAGCAGGTTATTGACTAATCCTTTGCTCCAAAATGCTATTCTCTTGTTACCTGTGCTCATCTGGTCATAGCTAGAGGAATAGAAGATGATAGTTTACTACCTAACCCTATAAGGTCTTTCATACTCATCCTCTATGGGGAGGGCAAGAAGTACCAGGCCCCGTTGGAGCTCCCACAGCCAGGGACACTGTGCCAGTCATGGCAGCTGCAGTGAGCCGCCTGAGTAGGCAAGGCCATAGCGCTGGGAGAGAACAGACAAGCTGAAGGATATAAAAATGAGTGAAAAACTTGGAATTGCTGTAGGAGAATATGTGGGAAAGTCTCTGCTGTGGACATAGAGAAGGGGAAAACCACTCACAGAATGAAGGGGGTATTCCTTACCTGTCTTGCCAGGGCTGTTTTTAAGGGTGTTCATGGAATCATGGGCTATCCTAGGTCAGAAGGGACCTCAGGCTGTCATCTAGCCCAACCTCCTGCTCAAAGCAGGGCCAGCTCTGAGATGGGACCAAGTTACTTGGTTTGTCAGATTAGACCAAGTTTGTCCTGTCAGGCTATGACAACTTCCAGGGACGCAGAGCGCACTCCCTCTCTGGGCCTCGTTCCTGCCGTCATGATGAAAAGATTTTCCTTGTATCCAGGCTGAACATCTCATGTTTCAATGTAAGCTCCTTACCTCTTGTCCAAAGCACATCACTGTGAAGACCCGGGCTTTATCGTTGTGATAACCTCCACGTAGGTATTGCAAAGCTGCTGGGGGGTGCCCCCGAAGCCTTCTCTTCTGCAGGCTGAACATGCCCAAATCCCTCATCCTCTTCTCACGTGACAAGTGCTCCAGCCCTCTGAGCATCTTGACTCTCTGCTGAACTCACTCCAGTCAGTCAGTGTCTTGTTCTGGGGCCCCAAAACTGGATGCAATATTCTCGATACGATGTTCTTTAGTTTTCTTTATCCTTCAGGTGCTGGATCTCATCCCTTGGAGGGAAGCCAAATCGGTGACTAGAGCTGTCCAGATGATCCCGGATGGAGAAGCGGAGCTTATCAGAGACTCCAAATTCTCATGGACCTAATTTTTTTTAAGCTTTGACAAACACACAAAAGTGGTAATGTGTGGAGAAGTCCCTCCCCCACTTCCTCCGTGTCCGCATCAGCTTGATTGTCTCCTTTGTCCCTCTTGCCTGAAGCCTTCAGGCCTCCCTTTGTGTGCAAAGCCCATGTGGAACATGGTGTGGAGCATTTTTGAGCTCTAGTGCCATTTCTATATTCATGACAAAGGGTTATTTATATTTTCTTTTTAGAAGTGACCGTGTCAGCTCTTGCTGAGAGGTAACACGGTGTGTTAAATAAGCCAGGCTATGTGTAGATGCTGTTATCTCCTACTTAGAGGAGCGCAGCCTTCGATAAGCTCAGGGCTACACCTGCCTTAGAAACCAGATAGCACCTTGAAATATAGTCGTCCAGAGGAATACAGCTGCTGAATGGATGCTTAGATACCGAATAATCCTAGTAGCAAATCCTAGTAGTCAGCAAGTTACATGAGCAATTTTGAGGGAGGTGAAGCATTGGTCTGTCTCCTTTCTCCTCTCCCCTTCTCCCCTTTCGTGCTGCTCTGATGGTTTGGCTAGGAAGGGTCTCCTGCCGTTATGATTAGTTTTAACAGAGTGGGGGTAGGGAAGCTTGTAGCTCAGAATGTTCTCATCCTCACTTCCTGCTAAACTGTGGACCTCATTTTATCTCCTGACTGGTGAAGTATGTGTGGAGAGCCCTCCCTCAAACAGATGCTAGAAGAAAGTGCTTAGAAAGGGTAATACCCTTGTTGGTAATGACCCTTGCCTTCCGTGGCACGTTTTTCAGGCACCTGTAGCCCCCGTTACAGCTGTGAGGAATGCTGGCATATGCAGGAACACAGAGCTTGCAGGGTGCTGGCTCATTTTGGAAACAGGCCTAAGGGAAGCAGTGCTTGTCAGCTTTTGTGCACGTGGGAAAGTGAGTGACTTGGTTTAATCATTGTTCTCTTCTTTGCTGTGGTTGATGTAGCTTCCATAGATCAATCTGTTTTAAAGGTTTCTTGGGCCCAGCCAGCTGTGCTTCATTTTTGTCCTATATACAGAGTGCTCTCTGTACCCCATTAGCCTGGGCACATACTTTTGTTCTTGTACTTGTACTAGTGGGGATGTTTGTTATCATGAGATAATGTATGTCGTCACTTCTGATAGCAATTGTTTCCTGTGGAAACAGCGGCTTCTGAGTAAGAGGCTACCATAGCATGGTTTAAATTGCCTGTCATGCTGCATGTGCCTGAGGACACAGTGTCATCCTGTCTGGTGTATTCACAATAAAGGGAAACTCATTATTTAATGCCCACAGTGCCGGTCTTCTGAAAAGATTTGTCTGAAGTTCAGTACACTTTGGAGATACTTAAAAGACATGAAAAAGAGATGTATGCTTCATGTTACATTTTCTGCCAAAGTAATGTTCTTGACAGCACTGGGCTAAATGTGAGAACCAGCAAAGTTAACTCGTTTGCTTTATAGTCCCAAATTAAATGTTTTTAAAAAAGAAAACATCTAAGAAATAATAAATGCATTCTTCTGTTTACTTTTACTTTCTGTACTCAATAAGTTAGGAAAAAATAATTCTATTTAGAGGAATGCACGTTAAATCTTTTTAAATGAACAAACACCAAAATCCAGCTGTTCGGAGAATTAATACAAGGCAATATCTGGGTATAAGATTGAAAGAAAAATTCCAGTAAACACATTTTCTGTGTATAAAGCTTATTGAAAACTAATTCATTCTCTGAATGACTGAAGTAAGTGGCATGTGTTGGGAGAATAAAATCTAAAGGTTTGGGGGTTTTATTTGTAGGTTTAAGTCTTACCTTTCTCCTTCCTCCACTCAAAAGAAATGCATTGCAGAAGCTATGGTATACTACCTTGGTTATTCTGCTTGGTGTTTTGTGAGGCACTGTCTAAGGCCACTGAAGATGCATTGTACTCTGTAACTACACAGCATGTTGTGGTAAAAAAACAAAGAAATTTGAATATTCTGGCTTGTGATGTTCCTGGACGTATTGGTCTCATTCACATGTTGTGGAAATCTCTGCCAGTACAACAGTCTCTGCAGGCCTTACCACAGAGGTACCCTACACCTGGTTTCTGTATTTGGTTTTAAATTCAACATTTAGTTAATTCCCTGCTACCTGTATGTCCATACAGATTTACAGGCTAGCTAGCCATGCTAGATGGTTTTTGTAACAAAATGCCTTTCTACTACTTACATGAACAGTTGTCATTGTGTTTGGCTCATGAGGCACTATTTAAAATGTTTTTAATTAAAGTTATCTTATAGCACTTAAAATTGTTTTGTATAAAATTTGCTGTACAGATTTGTAATATGGTCAAAGGGCTCTTTCTCCTTCATTACCATTTTTAAAAATGTTTTAAAAGCTAGAAAACATCATGTATATATTCTGTATATATATAGCAGCACATTTCATTTATGGAAATATGTTCTCAGAATATTTATTTACTAATATATTTATCTTAAGCCATGTCTTATGTTGAGAGTGTGTGACATTATTGTAATAATCATTGAAAATCACTAACATGAGGCCCTGTAAATACATGATAATTGCACACAAAGATTTTACAGTACCTGCCGACCAAAAATGATTTAAGAAAAGTTGTAGTTTCCTGCGGTTTTGTAAGAAAGTGTACAAATGTCTGTATTACAAAAAAAAAAAAAAAAAAAAAAAAGGCAAAACCACACAAAAATACAGTTTTATTGCATATACATGTGGAAGTTGTCCTTCTTGTTTTGGGGGAAAGGACATGGATAGCTGTGCTTCTCAAAGACTAGTCCTAGAATATACTGACTGAGATGTACTGTAATAAACAACAATATTTTTTACTTTTTAAAAGTAATAGGTGGGTGGATATACGTATATACATACACACACATAAAGATCCTAACAAAAATGATCATGATAAAAAGTTTGTAAGTGTTCTTTTCTGGAGGCAACTCATAATATTCTGTCTTAGGACCATTCAGCTTTCAGCAAATGCCACAGCTGAGTATCCACCAGAAATCAGCTTTTTTTTACCTGATATTGACCGTAGTGTAAGTCCAGTACTTGACAGTTTTAGCTGCCTTCCTAGTACTGTCCTCCGTAGTCTCACCTGGGATCTCTCTTACATGAGGGCTGCCTGTTGCTTCAGCGTTCCTGGTTACACCTGGCCGATGTTGCTGTTGAGGAGGAGGGGAGCTGGATATATTCCTTGCAGGAAAACAAAGATGATGTAGGAAGGAAGGTGAAGAAGATGTAGGGCACAGAGAGGGAATAGTGAAGGGTTAGGAAAGCAGCACACCAGAGTGCTGTGGAAATGGGGTGAAGGGCTCTGCCAGGGGAAACGGGGAAGGAAATGCAGTGAAGCTGAGGCTGCAGTGTGGCAGTCCATAACTAACAGGACAGCACTTGGGCCCTTATATAGTGTGCAGATTATTTGGGGCTGGGGGGCAGGGTGGTGTCTTACAAGTCCCTGAAGCCTCCAGGCACATGAGGAGTGACACATCAGCTGTAAGGCATCCCCGTTTACGTTTGGAACCTGCCTGTTCCTTGTAGCAGGGCAACTTAGTTCTGGTTTAATTTGGGGTAAATATAATCTACTGTCCTGAAATAAAACCGTTTTGAGACCTGAGCCAGTTTGATGCAGGTGGACACACCTGGGAAAATCACAGCTTGAATAGTCAAGCTAGATCCAAGTCCTTACCCTGGATCATGAAATCACTGGTCCCACTGAAGTGAAAATCAGTGCTGTGCTACTCTTTTTGTCAGCAGAAGGCGTATTTTGACCAAAGATGTTTATGCAGACAGCAAAAGAGGGGCTTGGAGGTATGTGGACAGCAATGTGCGTGTGTGTGTGTGTACACGTATGTCTTTATGTAATGTATGTTTATATGTTATTGTTTAAACAGTTTGCCTCCATACATGATTTATTTCACATCCAGCGATACAAACACTCGCACACAAATCCTTTCCAGTCTCCTCCTCCACTTTCTTCCTTCTCCCAGAGATTTTCACCTGGTAATCCCCTGGACTTTCCCCTCTTCTCATCCATGTTGAAGTGCACTGTAATTCAGTCGCCTCAGAATTCAGCCAAGAAATGAGCCTTACTTCTCTCTAACCCTGTTTTGCATGTGAAAACTGCATGTTTGGGGTGACAGACAGCTGAACTGAAAAGTATCATTTTGCGTGGCCCTCTTTCTAGCATGAGGATCGGTTACCATCCTCATCTTTGGTACTATGGGAAAGCCTTGTCTGTATGAGAAGACATGCACAATAATGGAGGAGCAACAGGCAGAAGGGAGTTAAGCAGCGCCAGCAAGTGCTTCCCAATCAAAGTACAAGCCTTTTTTTGCTGAGTCTTGGCAATTGCCAATGATTATAGATACTTTTATTATTTTTTTTCCCTAACTTAGTTTATATTAAAGAATTACTCTTAAAAATATCAGAAAACGTATGTGTTTGGCTGATACACCTATGTTGACAGGTCACATCTGATTCTCCTTCCTCTAACCCTAACTCCCACAGTTTGCTATTGCTGACTAGTGTTTTGTTTTTTCATTTCTTGTTCTGAAGAAAACCGTGAGGTGATTGTGCTTTTAAGAACAGGACATAACTTTACCCTTGCTGCCCACAGAATAATCAGTGAGCCTATACTTTGTCTGTTTGAGTAAGACAGTTGAGGGCTGTTGGCTGAACTTGAATGCAGTGCTTAGTGAGTGTGTGTGGTATCCTGTCTCTTCTTTGTTGTGGCATTTTTTTAATGACTAAATGTAAACATTTTCTATCAAAAATTAATATTTTGATATTTGGCAGGAGGAGGTTCTTTTCACTACTGAGGTTCAATATTTAAGGTACAAATTCGTGGCAAAATGAGAGTCCTGTGGGCACCATAAACCTGCATGGAACCTCCACGTAATAAAAAAAAGCACAAGCAG